ACAGTAAGTGAAGTGCGGAGTGGGAGTTAGCTTCAGAGATCGTTTCACATGTTAAACCACTGAAGTGTGGAAAGAAGCAAATGTGAAATTGAAGCCTGGTGTGACGGATAGAACAGTAGACTAGAATTCAGAAAAGGCGTGCTACTGATAGTTCCGCCACTGCTTTGCTGTGTATCTTTGGGAAAATATTTAATCTCACCGTGTTTCATTTTCCTTATCTGTAAAGTGGACCAACTTTAACATCCATAGCTGTATGTTTATAGGTGAAATATGTCTTTGTTCCCTTATGCCATACCTCAAATGGCAAATGCCAAATGTACAGACTGGATTAAATATGTATAAATATTAACTTAGACATTCTCTTCTTAGCTATCATATAGAATTCTTCATCTTATTTATATCAGTTGTATTAGTCAAGGTGCTCCAAGAAAACAGAACCAGTGGAATCTATCTATCTATCTTCATGTATATATATATGAAGATATTTATTATATGAAAGTGGCCCATGAGTGATAATGGAGGCTGAGAAGTCCTAAGATCTGCAGTCTGAAGGCTGTAGACCTGGGAGAGCCTCTGGTGTAGTTCAAGTCTAAGACTGAAGGCCTGAGAACTGATAGATAGACTCAAGACTCAAGAAGAGACAATATTTCAGTCTGAGTCTGAAGGCAGAGAAAAACCAATATTCCAGCTCAAGCCATCAAGCAGGAGGAGTTCCCTCTTACTCACAGGAGGGTCAGCCTTTTTATTCTATTAAGGGTTCTTCAACCCCTTGGATGAGGCCCACTCACATAGGGGAGAGTAATCTGCTTTACTCAGTCTACTGACTCAAATGTTAGTCTCATCCAAAACACTGCCACAGACACACCTAGAATAATGTTTGACCAAATATCTGGGGACCCCATGGCCTGGTCAAGTTGACACATAAAATTAACCATCACATTAGTGAAAAAGGAAACCATACAGGTAGTATGCATTTGTCTCTAATCTTTGGGATTATCTATTGGATATCTATTTTCTAAAAGGCTTTAAAGATGTTTGAGAAACTAAGAACATCAGAATCATAGGGGTCACCCTAAAAGCTCACCTGACACCAGAGCATTTGACTTTAATAAGACCCCTTACGTGGAGAGGATGACAGCTCCTTTTTTTGATCTGTATCACGAAGAGTAGAGACTGGAGGCTCTGAAGTATAATTTCCTCTTGATAAAGATCTTTTATCCATGATCTCATTTAAGCTTTCTTGAAGCTCCTAATTTTAATCCTTACCATCTTTCAGGTTGATGAAGCCCACTGAGTGAAAGTGTGCCTTCATTTTCCAAAAATGCCTCCTTCAAGTTTCATGAACATGGTCCCTTACTGGTACACCCTAGACTTGAAAAGAAGCATGCCCTTCATGGTTTCATATTTTTCACATATATCCTTTTCCTGGTCTTTATCTTTTCAAACCAAAAATCTTAAGTTGTCTTTATTCTATTTTCATCTGGAAATTTGTATGTCACATGGCTTAATTGCCCTTGAGTTACGAAAGCCACAATTGCTACTGTACATGAGTAGGTGGAAATTGGGCAACAAGGACACTGGATAGCCAACTGGAAGAGAAGGACAGTGATTTCAGGGTCAGAATCTTGGGTTCATGGTTAGTATTGTGGGGCTTTGAACTTGAGCACAAATTCTTGCCCACAGTCTTCCCTATCTTGTGAACACTGACTTACTTTGCAAGAGTTAACTCCAGTATTCATGTATATTGTGATGCCTTCCTTCAACTTACCAGGCACAGTTAGTTTTCCTTTCCATATTTCTGTAACACAAATGCATATTTACTGTGAAGCAAAACATAGTTCAACCGCAGTTAGTTATGATTTGAGTCTTGTTCCACTCACTGCAGTCACTAGAGCATTTTCAGGATAAGGCTAAGGTGAAGCCATGTTAGCTGTAACAAGGAAATACCTTTTGGAAAGTTTTTCATATAGCAAGTGAGAAATTATAGACTCCTCTTTGGGACATTTATTTTTTTTAAATGGGAGAAAATTCACATAAAAATTAATGAAATATGCAAACAAAAGCAAAAGAGAAAGGTGAGAAGGAAAATTAATCAAAATTACTTTGACAATGAGAAGCAAATTGTAACAAAACATGTTCAAAACATATCTAAAATAGTACCTTGTTAAGAGAGAGAGATGTTTTTCCAGGGCAGGGAAATTAATAGCTATAAATTGTTAGATGATCAAATTAGTGAAGAAATGAGTCATATGAACACAGTGGAAAATGACTTAAATTTTTTGCCATTTGGACAAGATTATTGACTTTGATGAAGATAACATGAAACTCCTAATGACATCAAAGTAATGAAGATATCTGTGACAAACTGGTTAATAAATGTTGTCAACTCAGAGTATGTGAGATAGTCAATATGCAGGAATATTCTAAATGCCTGGAATCTTATTTATATGAAAGAAACTTGATAAGTTTTCTCAAATTGGATAACAATCTAAACATTTTTATAACGTTACCAATAACAAGTTGTGAAGATAAAATTTTCTAAAATATCAATACTAAAATAACTTTATTAAATTGTACTAAAGAAAAGACTGAATTTGCCAATCTTGTGAGGTTTATAATATTTTCAGCTTTTTAAATTTTGCAATTTTTTCATGATTTATTTTCTCATTCTAAATATTCACATACTTGCCTAATTTTACATTTGTAAGTTTATATTCTTTTTCATTAAGAAGTTCCCTCAAGAATGTAAATTGGTACAGCCACTATGGAAAACAGTATGGAGGTTCCTCAAAAAACTAAAAATAGAGTTGCTGTATGATCCAGCAATCTTACTCCTGGGCATATATCCAGATTAAACTCCAATTTGAAAAGATACTTGCACCCCTATGTTCATAGCAGCACTATTTACAATAGCCAAGATGTAGAAACAAACTTAATGTTCATTGACAGATGAATGGATGAAGATGTAGTATATATATATACAATGGAATACTACTCATCCATAAAAAAGAATGAAATAATGCCATTTGCAGCAACATGGATGGACCTAGAGATTATTTTACTAAGTGAAGTAAATCAGAAAGAGAAAGACAAATACCATATGCTATCACTTATATGTGGAATCTAAAATATGACAAAATGAACTTATCTATGAAACAGAAGTGGACTCACAGATATAGAGAACACACTTATGGTTTCCAAGGGTGAGGGGATATGGGAGGGGGATGAATTGGGAGTTTGGGATTAGCAGATGCAAATTATTATATATAGAATGGATAAACAACAAGGTCCTACTATATAGCAAAGGGAACTATATTTAATATCCTGTAACAAACCAATGGAAAAGAATATGAAAAAGAATATATATATATATATATGTATAACAATCACTTTGCTGTACAGCAGAAATTCAACACAACATTGTAAATCAACTATACCTCAATAAAATAAAAAATATTCCCTCAAATTTCGGGCCCTACAAAACTTGAATCATCCTGCATAGAATACTTCACATTCTAGTAAGCATTTACTTTATTTTAATTTTGCTTTCCGTCTGTTAATCCTTTATGAAGGAAACAAGGACTTTGATCTTTAAAACCTGTGTACCTAGCACAGTACTTGATACATAATTGTAGAAATTGCTTGGTAAAGTATTATGGGATGTTTGAGTGTCTGACAGGGATTGGGTTAGAAACTCAAGGTGATTCTCAGAGTCCTCTGCTTTTACTAGTAAAATGATTGACATATTTAAAGGAAAGCCATTATATGATAGCAATTCATCATTTTGGAAAATTTAGAAAATATTGATTTGAGTAATACAGGTAATCAAATCCTCCAATGAAAGCATAGTGTTGTTCAGCTTAGAGAAAACATTTTTAAAGGTATTTGATTTCATCCTTCCCCAGTTGTGATTAAAAACATAAAATTCTATGTCATAAGTAATGATGACTATTTTGAATGTGAAGAGAAATTTCTATTGCAAAAAGACTTTCACCTCAACTTACTTTTGACTGAGTGCAAATTACAAATAAACTCTAATAAGATTCTCCTTTAACTTAAGAACACATTTAGATATTCTTAGCATCGTTACCGACGTTCCCGAGATGGTCCCAAACAAGGGTCCTCCTGTCCGATGTCAGTCACGCCTATAGAAGGAGACTCAGTTCGGCTAAGAAGCAAAGGAAAGCTTAATTCTCTGCTCAGAGAAAGCAGAGGTGTGCGCTGGTTCTAGACCACACGCTCTCAGGCCGTGGGCGGGGCTGCGTTATAGGGATCCCTCAGTGAGGAGGGGAAGGAGCGGAGTTCTCGCGAGGCCAGTGCAGCTTCGCTGCTCAGGCTCCCGATTGCAGCGCTAGGTGCAGCGCCTCTGCACACGGTCCGCCGCCGCCATCTTTAATTGCCGTGCTTTTGTGTGCGGCTTCTGCACATGGTCCCAAGCTGAGGTGTTGCCGCAGCCGTTTCACGCCAGGAACTCTGGTCTGAAGGGGCGGTGTGAGGCCTCTGCACGGGCACCCTATGAGCAAGTGAGACTAGACTAAGCACCAAGGTAAAAAACAGGTTAGACCTTATTTTATTACCCAGATTCTATTTTTATTCCCTGGGAATTGTTAATGGACTTTGCTGGTAACAGTGTTATAATCATTATTATTATTTTTTAATGTTTGAATATATCTGGAGCAATGAGAGTGAGGCAGTACTTTTGGTTATGGAAAGTTAAAAACAAATATAAACCAAAGAGAACTCTGAGTCTTGCTTCAATGAAGGTGAGAGGCACTTTCATTTTCAAAGAGTAGAAAATTCATACTGCAAATTAGTTTTTTTTTTTTTTTTTTGCAGTACGCAGGCCTCTCACAGATGTGGCCTCTCCCGTTGCGGAGCACAGGCTCCGGACGCGCAGGCTCAGCGGCCATGGCTCACGGGCCCAGCCGCTCCACGGCATGTGGGATCTTCCCATACCGGGGAACGAACCCGTGTACCCTGCATTGGCAGGTGGACTCTCAACCGCTGCGCCACCAGGGAAGCCCGCAAGTAAGTTTAGTTTATTCTGTATGCATAACAAATAAGTTCTAGAAAAGGAAAAATGATAAAGTCAATTAAACATTCAAACCTCATTCTTGTAACAGACGATGATATTTTGTACTACAATAATGAGTGAAGTATGAATTCATGTTGTAGATGTACAATTAAACTAAATACATACAGTTTCTTACCATTTCCTTAAGATTAGACGTGATTAAACAAAATTTCTTTAAAATTTATCTTATACAATATTATGTCTTTCTCTTTATTAAAATATAGTGATTTAGAGTATGCCGTTAAAATGCTGTTCAGTGATAGGTATTTCTTCATTTGTTTCTTTTTTAAAAATTGTAATAAAATTTAGAAATGAGGATTTCAGGCAGTATCTATTTCTGAAAGCTTTAGGATTGCTTCTTACTTATCTAGGCAGACTTAGATATGCTTCTGTCCTTTTAAATGAGACTTACCGTCCAGGAGAGGATATGATGACTTTTGAATGCCCCCAGAAGAAAACATCATAGGAAAGAAAAAAAATTGCTGCTTGAGTGCTTGGGTTTCAAGACTGGGGGATACAGAAAATCTGAAAAAGCTCCTCAGTGACCCACTAGAAAAATATTCCCCTCCAGTTTTCTCCCTTCAGCTAGATGTTTAAAAAGATAAGCATTCTCTTTCCCTCTCTCTCCCAAAGCATTATTTTATACAGGTCACACTCACTCAATCAGTAAATATTTACATATTGAAAGCCAAACACTAAGAGTGTCAGATACCATGGTATGTTACAGCAAGCGTATGAAGAAACAGATAAAAACATACCTTGCTCTTGAGTAATTCTTGGTCTAATTTTGGGGAAAATATTATGATAAATGCTAATATTATAAGCAAGAATAGAGTGCTATAAGAGCAGAGGGGGCAATGAACTAACTTGGTTTGAGTGAATCAGGAAAGGAGTCATCAAGCAGGCTGAGCACGTGTTTGTGTTAGAGTCATGAAACTTTAGAACTGGAAGGGGATTTATAGATTACCTAACCTACAAATTAGGTATAAATTTTAAAATAAAATATTGAAGTATCCAGTACAAAGTTGAAGCTTTTCATTGATTTATTCAACAAATAAGTATTGAATACCAACTACGTGCCCAGCATATTTCTAGGCATTGGGATCAACACTGTCAAGAAAACAAAAACAAAAGCAAGTTTATTGGACTAAGGTGATCTAGAGGCTCCTAAACTCCCCTCCTCCCAGGGACACACAAAATATACAGCTACACCTAGAGCAACCACCTGAGAAAGACATCCAGAAACTAGCTAAGTGACTCCTACATATCAAGTGAATGAGAAATGCCTATATCAAAATGGGTAGGAGAGGCTGAGACACACTCTCACCATAAACCTCACCCGTGACAGGGTGCCCATGAGAAACATTTCAGCTTTAAGGATACACACAGACTGAAAGTGAAGGGATGAGAAAAGATATCCCATGAAAAACCAAAAGAAAGAAGGGGTAGCTATACTTGTGTCATACAAAACAGGCTTTAAGCTGAAGACTGTAACAAGAGACAAAGAAGGTTATTATATATGATAGAGTGGTCAATTCATAAGAGGAAATAACAGTAAATATTTATGCACCCAACATAGGAGTACCTAAATATATAAAGCAAATATTAACAGACTTGAAGGGAGAAATAGACAGTGATACAATAGTAGGGGATTTCAAAATCCCACTTTTAACAATGGATAGAGATCATCTAGACAAAAATCAATAAGGAAACATTGGACTTAAACTACACGTTAGACCACATGGACTTACCAGACATTTATAGAACATTTCATCCAGTAACAGAATACACATTCTTCTCAAAGGCACATGGAACATCCTCCAGGAAAGATCATATGTTAGACACGAAATAGGTCTCAATAAATTTATGAAGATTTAAATCATATCAAGTATGTTTTTTGACCATAATGGTATGAAACTATAAATCAATTACAAGAAGAAAACTGGAAAATTCACAAATATATGGAGATTAAGCAACATGCTCCTGAACAACCAATAGGTTAAAGAAGAAATCAAAAGAGAAGTCAAAATGTCTTGAGACAAATGAAAATGGAAACACCAATCACACCCAAACTTATGGGATGCAGCAAAAACAGTTTTAAAAGGGAAATTTATAATGATAAATGCCTTCATAAAGGAAAAAGAAAGATCTTAAATAAACAATCTAAATTTACACCTCAAGGAACTAGAAAAAGAATAAACTAAGCCTAAAATTAGTAGACAGAAGGAAATAACAAAGATCAAAATGGAGACAATAGAGACTAAGAAGACAACAGAAAAGATCAATGAAACTATAAGATGGAATTTTGAAAAGATAGGATAGACAAATCTTATATGTGGAATCTTAAAAAAAGTAGAACTCATAGACACAGAGTAGAAAAGTGGTTGCCAGGGGCTGGGGTGAGGGAAATAGGGGGAGGTGGGTAAAAGGGTACAAACTTTCAGTTATGGGAGGATGAGTAAGTTCAGGGGTTCTAATGTATAACATGGTGACTATAGTTAGTTGACTGAAAAAAAAATGCACAACGTGAGAGTTGTGAGTTAAGCTTTATTTGGGGCAAAATGAGGACTATAGCCTGGGAGGCAGCATTTCAGATAGCTCTGAGAAACTGCTCTAAAGAGGTAGGGGGGAAGGTCAGTATATATGTGATTTTGGTGAAGGGGGAGTACCTGCAATCAAGCACATATTTTTTGCAGAAAGTTGCTGATAGTCTCGTGAAGGTTACTGCTAGTTACGAGGAGCAGACGTCACCATGAAGGATTTTAGTGCTTTTCTAGATACAAGGAGATGCAAGAATTGGTCTCATAAAATCTTCTCTTGAAAATATCTAACTATCTGAAGACCTGTTTTTGCCAGTTTTTCCCAGAACACAGAGTGCCTTATTCCTGATCTCCACCCTGATCTCCTTTCAGGGGGTGTTGAAGGTCAGCAGCTGCAGCAGCTCCTGATTTAATCCTTGTAGAGGGAGATGGCAAGTGCCAGTTTGTAGCTGGCAAGTTGATAACACTGTATTGTACAATTGAAATTTGCTAAGAGATTCTAATTTCATCTCTAATTTAAATGTTTTCACCAATAAAAGCTAAATAGTGAGGTAAAGGATTTGTTAACTTGATGCAGGGAATCCTTTCAAAATGCATACATATATATATATAATCGCCATGTGTACACTTTAAATATCTTACAATTTGTCAGTTATGCCTCAATGAAGCTGAAAAAAATAATTAGAACCTTAAGAAAAGCCAAAAAAACAAAACAAAACCCAAAATTTGTGTCCTCATGGCATTTACATTTTAATGGGAGTGAGAGTCACATAATTAAACCTACGGTACATCAGATGGAGATAAGTAAATAACTGTTATGGACCAGCTGCACAGAAAAGGAGTATAGAGACTGAGAGGGGTATTATCATTTTAAATAATCTGGCCAAGTAAGACCATTGAGCAAGACCTGGAGGAATTGAGAGAGAAGAGGTCTGGGTGTATTAGAGGGACAGTTGCAAAAGCATTCCTAGCAACAGAAGAGTGCAATATAAAGACCATGATGTGAGATTATATCTTTAGCTTTCAAGAACAGCATGGAGGCCAGTGTGGCTGGAGCATCACATGTGATGGGAAAGCACAGGAAATGAATTTAGACAGGACATAAGGAGTTAAATCACATAGGATCTTGTAAACAATTGTAAATCCTGTCAGTTCTACTTTTAGTAAAATGAAATATGAAATTGTTTTGAGTGATGGGAAGACAAAGTATGACATGTATTTTAAAAATGCTTCCTCTGGGGCTTCCCTGGTGGCGCAGTGGTTGAGAGTCCGCCTGCCGATGCAGGGGACATGGGTTCGTGCCCCGGTCCGGGAGGATCCCACATGCCGCGGAGCGGCTGCGCCCGTGGGCCATGGCCGCTGGGCCTGCGCGTCCGGAGCCTGTTGCTCCGCGGCAGGAGAGGCCACAGCGGTGAGAGGCCCGTGTACCGAAAAAAAAAAAAAAAAAAAAAAGCTTCCTCTGGCTTCTATGTGATTGTGGACAATAAGAGAAGAAATGGGTCATTTAAAAGTTGCTTTCTTGATCCGGGTGAGAGATAATGTAAGCTGGATCAGGGAGGAAGCAGTAGAGGTGGTGCGATGTGATTGAATTCTGGGTACATTTGTAAAGGGAGCATCAACAGGGCTTGCTAAAAGAATGAATGTGGGGTATAAAAGAATGAGTAATCCTAGATGATTCCCAGGTTTTTGGCCTGAAAGCTAGAATGATGGTGAAGATGAGATGGTGAAGACTATACAGAGCAAGTCTGGGATAATAATGAATCTTTTTTCATACACATTAAGTTTGAAATGGCTAATAGGTATTCAACTGAGATGTCAAGTAGTCAGTTGAGTATAAGGACACTGAGGAGGAGAGAAGGGCTGGAGATTTAAATTTGTTGCTTCTCAATATATAGATGATATTTAAAGCTCCAAGGCTGATTGAGGACCAGAAAGGGAATGAGCACAGAAAAGAGAAGAGGTCCACTGGTTGAGCACTGAACACACTATCGGTTGGGCATGGTTGGAAAGGAGAAGCCAGTAAAGGGAAGTGAAAAGGAATAACCACTGGGAAAACTTTACCCTAGAAAAGTGAGTGAACTAAGAGTGTAATGAAGGGAGAAGTGATCAAACTATTGCCAGCTGCAGCCAGAACCTGCTAAAGGATCAAGTAGAATGAAGCCTGAGGAATGACCATTTGATCTAGCATCATACAAATTATCAGTGACTTTGAAACAGTTTAAACCAAGTGGTAGTAGTGGAGAAAGTCCAAATGGAGTAAGTTCCAGAGAGAAAGCGAAGTTGGAAATAGCCAGTATAAATCCTTTTTTGAGGAGTTTTGCTATCAAGAAAAACAGAAAAATGAAGTGGTTGTGAGAAAGGGTTGTGGAATTAGGAGAGGTTTTTATTTTTAAGTATTTTAAGAAAGGATAAAT